AAAAAAGGGTTATAACTCTTTTTTTATTAAAAAATGTAAAAAAAAAAATTTAAACACTAATAAACCAATTATATTTCAGACTGCCCTGGTCTAGAATAAAATTGTAAACCCCAGGTTTACATTAAGGATCTTTCTCGAACAATCATCCTGCTGCCTACTTGCCCATCCAAGATTTTATTTATTTTATTGCTGTTTTGTAAGACCATAATAAAAATTTGTACAATTATTATGTGCCAATAATCAACATTTTAGAGAGAAAAAAAAAACATACCGTTCCTCAATTATCTCTTGAATTTCCTTACAAGTATTTTCAGCTGCACTACTCTTCGCAATTTCTTCTTTAATTCTTGGAACTTGTTTTTCAAAGAATTCTTTTTCTTGTTTTTCCAACATTTCTACACGAAAATGTCAAAAGCAATTATTTTTTTTTTTGAAAATAAGGGAATAAAAATAGGTAGTTACGCACCTGATAACCTTTCGACTGAACTTTTCATGTCTATATGTATATTAGAAATGATATATATTTTAGTATATTTTAGTAGATCACTAGTTAGTTTTTATTTTTAAATACCATTCATCTGCATTTCGTAATGACAAGTGCTCATATTCCTAATTAAACCATTTCGCGTAATTTCGAGAGCGGCACCTAGAGTTTTAAAATAATATAAATATTTTTTTTGTTTGTAAGGTGGAAATAACAATAAATTACCCTCGCGCTTCAACTCTGCCAAAATTCTAAGAACGCAGTCGGTGCTCTTCGTATAAATTAGTAAAGTTAATTACATAATCTAGTATTTATTGTAAACGGAAATTCGAAATTTGTTTTGTTCTCTTATGCATACCGAATATTTTGGACAACGTATCATTTCCTTTATTTCCCCTATAAATTTATCATTAAACACTCTGTAGATATTAAGGGAACTAACGGTTCGAAAATCACTACACATTATATTATTTAAAAATTAATAGTGTGTGGAAGAAAATAATAATGAAAAAAAAGTGAAAAAGTTACTTGTTTAACCGGACTTGCACTGCCAACTTTAAATCCAAATCTTGAAACTGCTCATTCTCTCGTAACATCGAGCAATCAAGATCCTTAGTTAAAGATTCAAGACGCAATTTAAAAGGGCTGAGTTCTTTTTGTATAAATCTTGATATCTGTCATATAACGATATTAGACGAGCATTCTGTCATATATATGCTTTTTAGGAAAATGTTATAAATTTACCTCTCGAGATTGTTCAAGCAAACCTTCTCCTGTTCGTTGATTAATGGAAATTAAGTTTTGAATGTCTTTCTGTTTTTGTTTCTGAATTATATTTTAATTTGCAAAAATATTTTTAGTCAAAATATTTTAATAAACCTTTGAACGAAAATAAAATCCTATTTACAATAACTTGGTTTGAATTAGAGACACTATCGGAAATTGCTGCTAATTCGTCACTTGATGACGCTAATCCTTGACACTGTCTTTCAAGCCCTTCGGCAAAACTAGAAATCATATTAAGTGCGGCTTGTGTAGCCTCATAATCGGCCTTCGCATTTATGACTGATCTTGATGACATGAAAAAACGATTGATTGAGGTTACGTTTACGTGATTTGAAAAATGAAATAAACTTATAGAATTACATTATTCGATTCGACATTGATGGAATGTGCGAATATTTTTGTTCAACAAGAAATTTTATTGACGCGTGTTTTTCCAATATTTTTTCATTGATTTTTATAATATCATTTAATATTTTTT